TGTTGTTGTTGTTGTTGTTGTTGTTGTTGTTGTTGTTGTTGTTGTTGTTGTTGCTGTTGTTGTTGTCTTAGTTTGTTGTTGTTTTTATTTCAGTGATTCTCTCGAGATTGGCAGGGCTCCATGAAAAATAATTAACCTTTACCTAGCTATTCGGTGTATTGGGAACGACAAAATACAGTTTTTTTTTAAATCTGTTATACCGACTTGGATGAAAGTCCATTTGAGTCTTCCATTCGAAACTTATTTGAACTTTTACGCACATCCTGGGTCTCCACATTTTGTGGGGTGACATGGGGGTCGCCGTGACGAAGGAAACTAATTTGACGAAGAGGTGGGGGGGTGGAGGGATGGGGGTCGAGTATACGTTTGCCATGACTTGTTTGTTTGAATTAGTGCATTTTGATTCAAGATTGATTGATATAAAACTGAGGCAGAAAGACACAAAATACTGGAAGAACCACCTATTCCAAGACGTCGATTACGATCGAACTAGAATATAAAAGGCAAACAATCGCCTTTTTGTGCGGTCACTGATTAAAAAGCTCGAAGAAATGATATTCCTTTTCAAAGGGAATAAGCCTGAGTTTACGATCGACCTTGCTTACAGGAAAATGATCATTAATAATCGGAGATGAAGGTCTATAAATTCTTGTCGTCTCTACCTTTAATCATTCACGACAGCGTTTAGATAAGAACTAATTATCCACTCATTCATCTGCTTGAGTGGGTTGTGTACCCTCTAATTTAAAGTCATAAATCGATCCCCCTAAAAAAAACGAACATTATTAGTAGCTCTCAGAAACTCCTTCTCTTCCTCTTTCCTCTGCTATAATATTATGGCGTTTGTGTTGTAGTGTAGCGGTTAGGCGCTTTGTCGTTGCATGCAGAAGACGTAAGTTCGATTCTCATGAGGAGAATTTATTTTATCAAGTACCTCTGTCTGTCTGTCTGTCTGCTGCTATGGTGTATCCCTCTAAGTTTACGGTGGCCCTGACCTGCAGAGCCGGGGCAACCTTTCTCGTAAATGATTTAGATTATTTATAGTCTTTCATTAATGTATAACACACATACATAAAATACTACGTTATTCTCACACATATACACATGCTTACAAGTAATGACATAATCAATATTCTACTCTAACCATGTATGTATGTGGTCACTGACTTTCTCAAAAGTAACACCCACCCCCCTAACCCCCCCCCCCTATTTTATAACTACAACGTCGTGAATCAATGCAAGTGCCTATTCAGAGATGTGTGAGATTTCTAATCACTGGTTGTTACAACCAGCATTAAGACAAGCTTACCGAAAGTTGTTTGGGAAAGAGTCACCAACACCAACACAAACACAAACACAGACAAAAACAAAAACAAGAACACAGGCACAGACACAAACATAAGCACCAACACACATAGACAGACATATAAACACGATACAAATACAAACATGAGCATGCGAACACAAACATAAACACGCAAACACACAAACACAAATACCAACAAAAATACACAAACACAATAACAAACACACAAAAACAAACACACAAACACACACATACTCAAAACACACAAACATAGATACAAACACACACACACACACACACGCATACAAATACACACACACACAAACACACACACACACACACACACACACACACACACACACGCCCTCACCTCACGCCGTTCGCCAGAGACATCCACTTGCTGGTGCCGTTATGAGAGCCGTTATGAGAGCCGTTGTGCTCGGAGAAGGCCAGGGAAGACGAGGAGGACGAATACAGGGACGGGTTCTTTCCGCCCATCTCTGACGCCATCTTGCCCAGGATGCGACTCACGATATCTTTCTTGTTGTTTTTGTTGTTATTGTTGTTGTTGTTGTCGTTGTTTACGCGGTGTTCTAGACTAGGTCCAACAGATCCAGGGCGTTGTATCCTTCTCTTTCTCAACTCTTCATCGCTGTCCTCACACTCGCTCAGACTTTCGGCATCGCTGTCGTCGTGTTTGGCGGTTCTGTATTTCTTTCTCATGGCGTTTAGGTCGGGCGTGAGTCTGTTTCTGGCGTCGATGATATGACGGAGATTGTGTGCGAGCGACGGGTTGGAAGTCCTAAGTCCTTCTGAATGTTTCATCTCAAGAGATGACGTACTCTGTGAATGTGGAACAGTGGCTAGATTTGAATTTGCAACCGGCGCCTTTTTAACAGGTGTGCTCGTGGAAAAACGAGAGGGATCTTCTTTCTCGGTTTGGGCAGAATTTTGAAATGATTTCTTCGTAGTGACTGATTTGGAGTGTCGGGAATGAGCTCTTCTCTCGCTGAGCACTGTACTGACTTCTGACTTGACACTGGTCTCTTCTTCGCTGTGTTCGCCGCTACTCTCGCCAACGTCGTAGTTACTGGCGTTGTGAGCAGCGTTTTCTTTACTGTGTAGTCTTGACTCTATCTCCTGGTGCAGTTTTTTCACCTTGTCGATCAACAGCTCGCCTCCCTTGGTGGAGTGGGCGGGGCTAGAGTCTTCAGAGCCACGTCCCCGTTTACTTCTACTCACAGTACCATTTCTCAGAGAGCTGCCGGTCCCTGGGCTTTGGTGGTGATGATGCAAACTGTCCATAGAGCTATGTGGGCGGAGCTTAGCTTTGAACTGCGCCAAGCTGCCTTTGGAAGGGAGTGGGGAGGACGTCAAAGATCCTGTTTTGGTCATGAGAAGACCTAACGCGCTCTTACTTCTCTCTGGCGTCCGTTGTTTCGCGTCTGGCCGGGAGCTGCTTCCTGTCGCCAGATGTTGTGACGGGGGTGGGGAGTTGGACGATTCACTTTTCAGATCTTTGTTACGGTTGACTAGAATTTTTCTGTCTCTGCGTCTGTGTGGATCGTTGGCGTAAGGAGAGTCATCGCCAGACCTTCTGTTCGTGGGTTCGGAGAGAGGCGGCTTTCTGTCTGTAAACGATGAATTTGTCTTTCTATGTGAAGATGTTGCGAGATTTTCGTGCACTTTTTGATGGTCTTGTCTGCGACTCGAAGGGTGCACGGCTTTGACCGGGGAAGAAGACAGAGGAATTTTCCGAGAAATAACTCGCACACTTTCTTGTCTCTCCGAATGCATGCCTGCACCAACAGAATATCTTTCAGTCCCGGATTTTCGCTCTGTTGACACTTTTCCGTGAATATCTCGACTACTTTGGTCGCAGAGTGTTGAGTCACTTTCGTCGCTGATATCTCTGTCATTAGCACCGTTAACACGAGCCAGTTTTTCCTCACTCCGAGACCCTGCACTCGTCCTCTGACCATGAGCACCGTCACCAGAAAGTGACGTACTCGACTTTCTCTCACTCGCAGCACCGCTGTACCGAGCCAGGTATTTGGCCGTCTTCTTCATATCCCCCTTATCTTGTTCATCTATAGAAGAAACTAGTGAAGAGTTAGAAACCTCTTGGATTGTTATACCATCTCCACGACTCCTGTCTCTTCGTGAAGGCTGGACATTCACGTCCGAAGCACTGGTATCTAGTTCTGAACAGTTGCTGAGTGTGTTGTCTCCCTCATAATCTTGGACGTTCGTCTGTCTGGACCGGGCCGAGTTTACCCTCGGCGACTCACCGGATACGGAACTGACGGAATCTGACGCTCTGGCGAGTTGCATGCTGGGGATTGTGACGTCAGAGCTCACAGGATACGGGGACACGGAAGACGACTCGCTGTTTTTGGCAGGCGATGATTCTCGGGTGCCGAGTGCAGTGCCTGTTTTGTAAGCACCACGGAATCTGTCAGATTCATCGGCGTTATTATTTCCCCGCTCAAATTTGGAAGAAGCAGAAATAACAGGGCTGGCTCCCACAGATCTCGCCCGTCCCGTGGGATGAGTGGTCTCGTCTGACCCACTATGTAGGCGAGTGCCATAGCCCGAGGCCCCCTGTCGTCTCTGGGCACGAGCACCAGACAGCATGACGTCATCGTATCTCCCTCCCTGGACGGAGAGACTGAGCAGAGATTCCGACCTGAGACTCCTCGTGTCTGTCTCTGAGCCGCTGTTCAGTTTGGAAGACAAACTCTCCAGGCTTGCTCCGAGTATGTTAAGGTGGGCTTTTAGAGATGCGTCTCTTATCGGAGTTGAACGGGTCTCGTGTAATGCTCCTCTTGTGAGAGCTGAACTGGTGCCTGTATCGGACACAATCCGTCCAGTTGTCGGTGTCGCGGACTGAGATCTCTCGAAGTATCGGCCGGCGAGACGAGAGAAATGACCTCCGTAGGAAGAAGGTTCCACAGAGCGTCTGTCGTTTTGTGTCATTCTTACTTCCTCCGGGTCCACAGAGTTACGGGGAAATGTCGTAGAGTGCGAGCGTCTATGTTCGAAGCGGTCCCAGTTCGCATCCAGGTCCACCACATCACGGTCAACGTGTGAGGCACTGCGCGGAAAGTGGGTCGTGTACTGAATGACCTCCGGGTTACCTTCTGAACCCATGACGTCACTGGGAGAGCCGCCTATACGTCTGTCGGGATCGGAGGAACCTCCTCGGTGATGTCTGCGCTCACTTGGTGGTCGTTTTATCACCCGCCGCAACTCCGGCCGATATGAGGGTGACGTCTGCCCGTCTGTGTGTCTCAAGTCAGTCTTTGACGACCTGGCCGCCATTTTCCCGTCCAAAGCAGTATCGTCATCGTCGTTTCTTTCCGTCGTCTTCAGAATGGAACGATAATTCACGGCTTTCGCGTCACTCTCCTCAGTAGCTTTGTAGTTTCTCGCAATGACAGCGACTCTGTCCCCGATGTCTCTACTTTCGCCATCGTTTCTGTTCTCCGGAGAAAAGTCTAAGAGCGACGATCTGTTCTTACGTCTGGACATTTCCCTGTCCCGCTCATACGTCAACTGGAATTCATTGAGTTCCCTCGGTGACGTCATGGCTCGTGGATTTCTACTCGCCACAGACTCAGCACAGAACTTGACGTGTCCGCCCATGTCTTCAATACCTTCAGAGAAACTCCGCGCCCTTTTCAGTTGTTCGTTAGAAAAATCGTGGGCCTTGAATTTTGCTTTAGGATTTATCAAAGACCTGAATGCCTTTAGTTTTTCTGTCAAGTCAAGCTCATCTTTTTTCTCGTCAAACCCACCGCTGTTCGTCTCTGTGGGTACCGAACCTCTATATCTGGAGGACTTTTCACTGAACCCCACCGCCGACGAGCAACCTCTGGTAGGGAGGCCTTCACCTAAAAGGACGCCATTTTTCTTCAAGCTCTGTAAGTTTGCTCGGGAAGAGAGCGACTTCTGCTGGTGAGGGTTGTCTTTCGTGGATTTGTCCGACGCGTGTTCAAACCCCAGTGAGCTCTTTGCTCTCTGCATTGACGAATTATCTTCTTTCGAGACGGCATTTCTCTGGTCTGTCTCGTTCCGGGGCTGCCTTTTTATCACCTTCACGGTCTTCTTCTGTTTCTCGTTGTCGGAGACAAAATCATCCTGTACTTTTTCCCACTGGGCTACAACATGCGCTCTGCCGTCGCCTCTTTTAGAGCGAATGATCTTTCGACCCACTGCTCGTTTTTCGTTCACCTCCATATCACCCGAATCCTATAATCACCAGGACTTAGGTTAAGCGCGTAAGCTTACGCTACGGCGAACAGCACCCCTTCTGGTCGCACGAGGTCATCCTGTGTCCAGCCTCAGCAGACAGACAGTCCACAACACTGACCACGTCACGGAAATCATGTCTGTCTTTTGACGCCAGGAGATGGTTTCTGCACAATTCTCTGTGATGGAGAAGTAAAGAAAGAGACCGATCCTCTAGTCACATTGACAGAAACCATGTAAAATAATACACAGGAACTTTGAAATAACGTCTCTAGACACTAAGATAGCACATTTACTAACGTCCTTTCAGAAATATTCACAGCTCCGTCGAATCCATTGAAAGAAACATTTTCTTTTGAAACAGCGCGTTCAAAATCACGCCAAACAAATCAAGGTTATTGCCGAAAGTTTAATTAATGCACTACTTGCAATATCACACAGGCTTCTATCTGATTGGGGTTGACTCCGTGAAGAAATTTCAATTATACAAGTCCAATGTCACGCCAACCAATTCTAGACGTGTATCCAAAGATTAAAAACAGCACAAATCGCATTCAGGCCTCTTCCTGTTTGAAACTTTCGCTACAAAGAATCCACTTTCACAGTCACCTCAATCAATATTTTTTTTCCATATCGAGCGTAGTATCAGCCGGCGTGTAATCGTTATGGGACATCTTCTTGTCTTGCCACCATCTGTTTGAAGTCTTCTGTGCAAAGAATTTTATAATAATATTATTTTTACTCCAGGCATCGATCAGGTAATTGTAATCGATAAAGACTTCGGGGCTGTGACGTGCAGTGACAGTCCGGATATCCTTTCACGCCGTGTCTGAGGTCTCTCGAGAGGCGCGTCGAATAATCTCCCCTTTTTGACCTGGTGGAAATAGACGAATAGAAGGCATATTTTATTGATCATCTTTGGTTTAATAGTTTGATTTTGTGAATCGTGAGGCCCCTATCGATTATGGGCGGGGAGAGGAGGAGGATTTGAGGACAATAATGTTAAGATTTCTCCCAGTCTGGTTTGGCACAGACAGGCAGAGAAGAAGCCCGCGTCTTACACGATCTAAATTGTGTCAATGAAAGCGTAAAAACACATATTTATTAAGGAACTAAAGAACACACCCTGTGCCATATTTGACAAGTTCCCTTCAACAGTTGATTACTGCCTCGAATACCTTGGATCAACCCCGTATAGACGGTGTGTTTGTGTGTGTCCGAACGTGTTTGTCTGTATGTGTCTGTCTGCGTGTGTTTTATTGTCTAAGTGTGTTTGTGTGTGCGTCTGTATGCGTCTGTGCATGTGTGTATGCGTGTCTCTGTGTGTGTGTGTGTGTGTGTGTGTGTGT